TAGTTCTTTGGTTTGTAAGCTTTTGATGTCAGTCATTAGTTCATGACAAAGTATGATGATTCTTTTTCCTTTTTTATTAAATTGTTGATACAATCCATTAGGTACAAACCCCATATTAAAGAAGGGAAAAAAATGTATTTGAAATTGAACATTCCTTCAGCTGTTGATCAATTAGCAGTGGAAATATATAAATACACATCATCTACTTCCTTAACATTAACCAGTTGACCACTATTTTTGATACATGAACAACGTCAACCTATCATTTAAATGTTATAAAAATCAGTACTTGATTTTCTTAATGTAATTAAAGAGATAATACATTATAAGTACATACAAATTAAAGTAAAAAGTACTAAAAAGAAGAAACATACAAAAATTATCATCTTTCATATCCTGTACTAAAATCTGTTAGCCTGTGAAATTTTTTGTAGATATATAAAATCATGGGTTTTTATTCCTTTAAAAAAAAAAAAAAAATACATTATTCTTCTCCTACCAGAAATACAGCAAAAGCGATACATTTTGTACAAGTAATTATTAAAGATAAATACATGTACATGTGTTCTGCACAAGTTATACTCACTCATGCATACATTTGCTCACTAAGCTTTCTCTATAAATGTCTGTGCAAAAAAAATTAAATTTGCAGTACTACCAAAAAAAAAAAGGAATGTCACAATACAACAAATTTTTTTAGTTTTCCAATCCTGAGGGTGATAGAGCACAAGAATGTAATGATATGTAAGGTTATAATAACCCAGTGTTATTATAAACAAGTGTTATGATAAACATATGCAAGGTTAGGTAACCCGTGCCATCCCAAATGCTCACCAGGATGCTCTATCAGTCCTTCAGATGAGGCCTACTCCGAATCTAAAAAAAATAGCTCAGCAAAGAAGTGTAAGCATTATTTATGGACAAGGATAAGAACAGAGATCATTTTGGCCGAACAAACAGTTATCGCTTCAATAAGCTATTAACTGTAATATTTAGCATGGACATCTACGGCAGCTCAGAAACACACAATGAGTCAAGATGATATTTAGCAGCTAGGAAGGAATTCAAATTCAGGTTGCCATATGACGAACACTTTATCAAGGTGTAGGAGATACATCAATGAGTTCTAATAAAAAACAAAACAAACAAAAAACAAGAGCAAGGTGATGATATTGGGCCATCTGTTTGAGTTACGGCCACATTTATGGGGTTATGTGTTCAATTACCAAGGAACAAAAATATAAGAATAAAAAAATGAAGTGCCGAAAGTAGATGTGCATATCTCACCTTGATGAGCAGTTTTTCTGGTGCAGCTTGTGATCGAAAGACAAATATCCTGCCGAAAGAAAGAGTACTAGACAAATGTCATATCTTGTTACCTCTACACTGAATTAATGTGCATAATAAATGCACTGAATTGAAAGTCAAGTAAATCCAGCATGAATGACTACCACAAACAGCCAACACTCTTTTATCTTGATATCAGTTGCTTAATTACTTAAGACATGTAAGACAATAAGTATTTCAGAACTATTAGCTTGCAACCATATGGTAAAGTCAATACCGCATGCTTGATTATAGCTTGTCAAGGTTTTTCTCAAAGTGGTTTAAACGTTGGCTTTTCTGTATCAATATTATCAATGCGTAGAAAAAAAAAATACAGAAGGAATTACACTATATTATAAAGATGTTTATATAACATTAAAAAGTTAAAAGAAACCTATACTTCACAAAGAAGTGCTTGCATATATAATACACTTGCATTGTGGTGAGTGCCTGAAAAAGAATGTTAATGTTAATATAAATAAATATTTGTTTATATTTTAATAATTTCCCAAAAAGTTTTACATTTATTACATTTTAGATTGCCCTAGCTTTTCTACTTTGATCCATTGACACATTTGTCATTTGGGGGAAATGACACCTTTTTTAAAAAAAACTCCATGCCTAACAAAGTAGCAATTCCTGCAGAATATCATGCATGCATTTCAGTAATCGTATTGTGCTGTATATTCAGTTTAAGCAGCTACTTCAAAAATAGTTGGGATTTTTTCAATTTTGTTTTCAAAGATTTTTTTTTTAAGTTAAATACAAATACAATGCTCAAATGTCACACTATATCATGGGAAAAGCCTTATACAAATTTGAGTGGCACAATACCCTTCCTCTACTGTAATCCAACACCCTCTTCTTGCAATTCTTCCCTCTTGTCCTTTTTGCTTGGATGGTTTTTGTCAATAAGCATTGAAGAAATTATACTGGAGAAGAGGAATGAGGATGAACTGCAGAATGTTAAAAGGGATATAATTACAATCTATTGTGCTACGTTTTTGTGATTGCTCATGTTTTTTACAGTTAAATGTGCACAGCCTAGGTGAAGATGCATTACATAGTGACAATAGACCTCAAATACAGCTTCCCAATAAAAAAAATTCAAATTTTCTTTTCATTTTATTGATGTGCAGCTTAATGTTTGGAGGTGGAGATGGGATGTAAGGTGAAGTATGACCCAAGTCATTTGACTATGCTGTGTGATTATCAAAACCCCCAGGAGATAGTGTAGACTTCTTTGTGTGAATCTCAAAACCCCCAGGAGATAGTGTAGACTTCTTTGTGTGAATCTCAAAACCCCCAGGAGATAGTGTAGACTTCTTTATAAATTCAACTAAGGAACTGCAAGTGACCCAAGTTTAAAAGATGGAACCAAGGTAAAAGATTCTTCCATGCCAGTGGTATTGCTATAATGGTGTTTAGTTCTAAGATTGCTTGGGTAAAATGTCTACATGTTAACAATCTAGTCAATGAGCCTAGAAATTAAAGGGAATGGGAATATAAATTATACAAACTGCAATAATCTACTTCAATTAGTTAATAGATCTTGGTGCCTGAAATGACACATGTTGATGTAATGGTAGAAGAATAAAAAAAATGTTTCTACAAAGCTAAATCATGTTGGATTACATCTATACTTTTTAATGTGTTTGGTTTGCTTTGATTATAAACAAATCAAAGCTAGATACATATTTAACCATACACTACATTTTGGAAAAATTGATAGGTCAACTTACAAACCAACATTGATCACCAGAAGTGGTCCACCCAACACTGCAGGTATTGATGAATGTTTTATATCTTTGCTCCATTCAGTCTTGAATATTCACAGCTATATGGATCTAAACATATAAACATTTTATAAAGTAAATCTTGTAGTGCCTGTACTTTTTATATATTTCACTTTGTATTGAGCACAGAGGTACAGATGGGTTCTTTGTTTATTTTGATTAGATAGGCTTGTGAATGTTATGTGCTTATGAGTCCCTTATTTTTCCTTATCATTAAGCACTGTAAATGTTAATATCCTTTAAAAGGTTAATTTGCCGAATTTTACATTTGAATTTGTGAATGTTGTAAAATATTAGTTTATTTAATATAATTGTTTATATATCTTTTACCTAGATATGGTCCATTTAAGCAATTTAAATAAACCGCTTGTAAAAAACATTGTAGGCCTATGTGTTAATTATCATCCCTTTAACCCCTTAAGGACACATGACATGTGTGACATGTCATGATTCCCTTTTATTCCAGAAGTTTGGTCCTTAAGGGGTTAAAAATGCCTGATCTGTATTACTTTGGATGTGCACTATTGATTTTTTTTGTTTTCTTTTGCTCATGGTCAAAAAACACAACTGACTTGGAACAAATTGGAAAAGGTATGAAGTTCCATTAAATATTCAAACACATTGAAATATCTACATTTCATCTGTACAGAGAATAAACCCATTACACTAGGTAGGGTTTTTAAAATCCATATTTAAGAGTAAAAGCTTTAGGATAATGTCAATGGTTTTAATATGGGACATTTAACTCTAGAGATGTTTATGTAAATCTTGAGGTCTACTTTTTAGTATTCTCCATTAATTTAAGTCATTCTATTGACCTCAGACTGATGTAAGACTGAGTTGATAATGGTAGATATCAAACCCATCAGTTGGAGCTTTTAAATTGAGTTTTCTCTACATTCTGCCCTAAACACTAGAGTTTTAGAGTGTTAGCTAAATATAAAGTGCTCCATTTAGCCATTCGCTTTTAGATTGGAGAGTCTTCTTACTAATCTCTATTATATACTCTAGTGAGAAGCCCTTTATCTGTTATTAAATCACAATTACTGTAATATTCCTAGATGAATTCTGAACGTAATTAAAGTTTACATCCACCTACAATGAAATACATATAACTGCTAATCCCGGTCGGTTTAAAATAGATGATTGTGAACTATATGTCTATATCAATGAGATTATTTTGGGTCTTAAGGCTCATTAGCCAAAATAAGGAAAACAACCACACCACTTGATTCATATCAGCCAGCATTATATTGGCTCTTGCCATCTCTCTAATGAATGAGCACATCTAGATGCAAGTGGAAAAGTACATTTTAAGAAAACAGAAGATGTTCATAAAACATGCTATATACTAAGTCGATAATGACTAGATCATTTTAGTGCTTAAAGTCTGATTTATCAAGCTCCTGGGATCAGGAATATTATAAAGATTAGTGTCATAAAAAAGAAAAGCGCTTGAAGCTTTTGAAACTAGCTAAGCTGATTAATAAGAACATCTTTGCTGTAATGTTTTTCATGTGGCTGGGATAAAGTCTATATCATGTAAGCAGGAGAGAGACACGAGACCTTTAGGATGCAACCTTGTTGTTCATCAATATTCATACACAACTCTTCTGCCTTTTCATCTCCTAATTTGAGAAGAAGCATCTTGCAAGAGTTTCAGACGTCAATTTTATTAGACGTATGCTATGATTAATTGTTCTTTCTGCAACATTAAGTGTATGAGCTGTAAAGTCATCGAACCTTTTCAGCACTATACAAACCTACAAGGCATTGCAGAATTTGTCTATATCAGTGCATTAGCTTAGATGTTTCTTTTGTATTCTGCTCCCATGTATGTGAATGGAATATCGATTGACTTTGCTCTAGTTGTGATCAGGATAAGGTAGCTTGAAGCTTTGAATGAGCTATCAAACTTAAACCATGTTTGGTGTGATTTTTGTCTTTACATGATCTCAGATGACTTGAAGCTAGACAGGCAATGTTGCAAGTCTGTAAGCAACCTTAGATTTGCATATAGTTGCATCCCTCAGGCAAACCATCTATGATACCCAGCACTTGGTGTTTCTAATGTACCACAAACTAAAATGCAATTGAGGACCTGAACATTGGTTTTGCTCTGCAGAACTAAGTAGGGCAGGTTTTAGTATTCCATATCTGTCGTGTAAATCAGTGAATGAAATAGTGTGCATAAGATGCACTTGAACAAGCATCAACAGAGTGTGTAAATTAAGTTTTTCTCCATGTTTCGTGAATGTTTTACATTTTTTACCACTGTATAAATCAACAGAATAGATGTAAGTCGCTGTAAGTCAAATTTGAACGTATTTGAACGTATACGTATAGAATCGAAGGATAAATGTGAATCTCTAGCTAGTGGTCACAGGTTTGCAGGGATCCCAACAACCTGATTTAAATATATTTTATTGTTTACCAGCCAGGCTAACAGTGGTTTATTCTATCTTTTGAATTAAAACTGGAAATATTGGTAATAGATTTTATTTTGCTTTTTATCTTGGTCATTAAATGGTACTCATTATGTATTTTTAAAGTGTACTTGTCATGGTACACACAACTTCAGAAAAAAAAATATATTTTATCTAGAAAATATATAGATTGTTTAATAAATGTATCAAACTATATAGTTCCATTCCCTCCTACCAATCATTTCTTAGTGGGCTATGCTTAGACTGGAAGAAAGAAGATTTAGTCTAAAGGAAAGGGAAAGGAAAGGTTTTTCTACCATAAAAATGTGGAATTCTCTGCCTGAACAAGTGGTTTTATCAGTGTCTGTATGTATGTTTAAACAGCAACAGATGCATTCTTACAGAAACATAATATTCAAGGATATAATTTTTCAACTCTAGGGTAATAGTTTCTTGATCCAAGGATAAATCTGACTGCCATTCTGGGGTCAATAAGGATTTTTAACTAGTTTGTTGCAAAATTGGAAGTGCTTCAAACTTTTTTTTTTTTTTTTTACCTTCTTTTGGATCAACAGCAAAAAACAGATGTGAGGAAGGTTGAACTTGATGTACACATGTCTCTTTTTTAAATACAAAAAGATAAGTCCTGCACTCACTCCCATCACTCCTGGGCGGCAGCAACGACCACAGCACACATCAGCCGCAATACATACAGTAAAACCAAAAGAAAAAGTTTCCTGCGCTCTCTCCTAAATCCCTATGTATATTTAAACACGTCTCTTTTCAGCCTATATAACTATGTAACTTCTATGGCCAAGTATACTTTTAATTCATATTTTAAAATCATTGAATATAGGGTTTTTTTTTTTTTTTTTTTATATTGATGAGAAAGTCTGGCACCCCCGATTCTAATAGTAGTATTGTACACATATCTTTTTAATATTAAAGACAATGAAGATAAATATACATCTTGCTTAAAGTACAGAAAACACTTCTAAAAACTTTACTGTACGAAAAAGCAGTCGCACTGAAATGATCAAATTCAATATCACAAAACAAAAAAAAATTACAGCATACCATCTGGTGTATCAGAAAATTGTATAATTTGCATACCATGTACAAAAACATGTTTAAATTGTAGAAATATGTTTGCTATGCCAAGCGCGTTTCCAAAATATATAAGAAGCACAACAGGATTGTTATCTAGACATATGTACTTTTCTAATGCACAAAAATAGATATGAGCATTGTCAGCTGTTCTGATAAATTTAGATATGTCTTATGTGATCACGACCTTAGAATAAGTTCAAGACAAGGAACAATGTATGAGAAGAAGGATTTAATAAAATGCAATAACAAAAAGTTGGTGTACGCTGGAATGTGCTGCCTCTTTCCCTCTGGACATGGTTCCATGGGTGCAAGTGCAATGGCACCTGCATATGACATCAAACCCTATCTGTCTTTACCACTGTATCTAATGGACACCAGATAGGCTGCCCAAGAGCCTAGCTTGCTCTCCTTTTTATGGAACTTTGATAACAATGTAAATTAAAGAATGGATTTTGAAACTATGAAGTGTAAGGATGGTTGTCGTACAGGGAGGCTGGGAGCAATGACCTAATTTAACCTTACTTTAGCGTGATGATTGTCTCTCTTCTTGATTTTTAGAAAAAGTCAGAGGTGTATTTAAGACTATTCTAGTACATTAATTACATATTGAATAGACTAGAAATTAATATGTTGATTTAGAGAAAATGTCCTGTCTTGAAGAAACTTTCCTTAACAGCCACTTACACCTTTGCTAAAAGTGCCCGGGAGCAGTACGAGAAGCTATCGAACATGTACAACAACATGAGCAAGCTCTACGATAATTTAGGAGATTATTTCATCTTTGATTCCAAAGCATTAAGTGTGGAGGAGTTCTTTGGGGATCTTAGCACCTTCCGTTCGCTTTTCCTGGTGAGTAATAATTTTAAATGTTTAACTGTACCTTTAATAGCAATTACAAACAAGCAAAATTATTTCATGAAATGACAAAAATTTTAATTGGTAAAAAAAATCACTTCTTAAAGAAGAGCTGTCTCTTCCTGTGATTTTTAATATTAGGTTTATTACAAAAGTTTGATTTGTGAGGTGTTAAAAATTAAACTAAATTTAGAAATCCACACCTCTTTATCTTGCAACTGGGAGCCTCCATGTTAACTCTCTGTCAATAATTATTATATAAACTATGACTTTTGCGCCTAACCATTAGAATAGAGAGAGCATGCAGAGAAGAGGAAATATATGTTTCTATTTCTCATCCTCTTTTGCAATGTTTACCCTTTGTTTTGTCTGAACTGGATTATGGTATATTTTTCTAAATATTTAATACAAATGTAAAATAAAACAGAGCATATTATAAATAGGTTAACACACATTATTGATAATTTTTAATATTTTACTCTATGGTGTAAATTGAAAAGAAATGACAGTTCACTGTTAAAAGTCTATTCAATAAATAAAAATACATACTGTTTTTACCTATTTTGCAATTAAAGATGAGGTTTTCTAAAATTATAAACTGTGTTGCATGTAAAACTGTACTTAAGATATTCAAATTTGATACTTAATACTACCAGAAGGAAAAAAAAAAATCCATAACTACCTTTGCTATTTTAATCTAGATTTTGTTTTCCAATGTGTCGCATATTACCGTTTAGTAATAAAACCCAATAATGTACTATGGCAATAGAAAAAAACAAACAAAACTAAAAAACTAAAGTGATTGAAATGCTATTTGCAGTTTCTACCAGGTTTTATTAAACCGTATATATTCTAATAAAAAATAAATAAAATAGCTAAAAGTGTGCCTGTAAGAAGGACAAAAATAAAACTCTCTCATGCACAGAAATTTGTGTTCATGTAGAGAAAGCACTGACTACGTTGTAGAAATGTTTTTAAAAGTATTCTCTTTGCAAATGCAGCAAAATAGATTTGCTCAACTCATAAGGATTATAGTATGAAATCTATAAAATATACAATATATAAGATATACACAACGTCTGTTTTGTCCTGTGTACCTAATACATGCTTTTTACAGTTACTTGATTAGCATTGCAATTTTGTTTATGCTTTTAACCATTGCAGCTAGTATCAAATGATATGGTTTATGTTTGTATCCCATTACATGGATGTCTGGATAATTCTAATATTGTGAGGCTGTCTTCTTTATGACATATCCCATACACACACACACACACACCTGAATCATTCATACATTCCTTCATCTGGTTTTGTGTTCAAATATTTATTTAAGCATTTTGTTTGCAGTAGAAACATTCCTTTTGTCTGTGTGTGTGTGTGTGTGTGTGTGTGTATATATATAAATATATATATATTGATCCAATTGATTTCATGTTTTGCTCATGCAACAGACAGCGGCAGGTAGTCTGATTCCTAAGAGCTGAGCACTATTGTGCCTGAAATAGATATAGAACTTTGCTTTTAGTTGATGCACAAAACAAACATTTATATTGTAAAGAGATATAGAAGTAAGGAGCCCAGCAAATTACAAAATAGGAGACTACAGGATGTGTTCCCTAACTATGAATATGCATTCTGCTATGCAATTGTAATGACCACTAGACTCAAAATCTATAGCACTTTTAAAGAAAGAAGACCATTTAAGAAGGTTCAAAAAACAAGAAAGTCATCTAGTTAATCTATTTTTTAATCTGGTATATCTGTATAGGCAATCCCACCCAGCATTATCCTCAATATCTACTCAGTTATACACCCTTGCAAACAATTTTTTATGGCCCTATTCTACTAAACTTGAGAGATTTGGGTAACTGTTTGTGTATTTAGTGGGACAGATGTTTCAACAGGTCTGTATCTATCTGCTTAATACAATGTATCATGTCTTCTCACCATAGGTAAAACAGTCAGAAGGACCAGTTTACTATGATGCACTGTAGAGTGCAGAGTTTCTGATTACTTAAAGGAGCACTATAGAGTCAGGAACACAAACATGTATTCCTGACCCTATAGGGTTAAAACCGCCATCTAGCCACCCTGGTACCCTCATGCCTCCCTAAATATATTAAAATCTTACTTGTATTCAAGTCTGGGGCTGTTTACATTGTGTATGTTTTCTTTAGACCTACCCACTGTTGACATCATCAGAAGTGGTAGCCTGATCCAATCACAATGCTTCCCCATAGGATTGGCTGAGACTGACAAAGTGGCAGATCAGGGGCAGAGCCAGCACAATTTAAACACAGCCCTGGCCAATCAGCATCTCCTCATAGAGATGAGTTGAATCAATGAATCTCTATAAGGAAAGTTCAGTGTCTACATGCAGAGGGAGGAGATACTGAATGTTTGGATGCATTTTAGGCAGCCATGACCCAGGAAGGATCTCTAACAGCCATCTGAGGAGTGGCCAGTTAAGTTATCACTAGGCTATAATGTAAACACTGCACTTTCTCTGAGAAGACAATGTTACAGCAAAAAGCCTGAAGTTAATGATTATTTTTTACCAGAACAAATTCAATAAGATGTAGTTGTTCTGGTAACTAAAGTGTCCCTTTAAATCCTTTTAGTGAAATAATCTAAATGATGAGGATGCAACACTATGTTCTTATGAATATGAGTTTATTCCTTCCAAGTATGGAACCCACAAGAGGTC